GGGCGCAGGGGCGTGACCGCGCTGCCGGGCGGGAGCGAGCACGCAGCACCGCCCACGCTGGCGTAGGGAGGACGGGGACGCCTGGGGGCGTGGCCGGGAGGGACGCTTCCGCTCCCCTGGCGGCCGGAAGTGGAGCGCGGGCGGCGCGTGGCCGTGAGCGTCCCGCTGCCCGCGACCTGGGGGAGCCAGGGGTGCGAGGTGGCGGTACCGCTTCTTGGGGGCCAGACTTTCCGGCGTGCGAGGCGGGATCCGCTCACGGGCAACAGGGACTACACCGCGCCCCACCCGCCCCTGGACGCAGGCGTGCTGCGGTGTGGACGCGGCTTCGCAGCCGGAGAGCAAGTGGTTTGCACCGGTGATGATAATAAGCAATTCGCTCGGGACTGGATTAGCTGTTATAAGCTGACCAAAGCGCCGCCATCCTGTTCTGTATGCGCCGTCTTAGTAAGCCATGTCAGCTGCTGTAAAATGTGTGCCTATCTCACAGAACTTCTGTTTCCGCAAGCCCTCCCCCCACCGTCGAGTTCCAAAAGTGCCCACTGCTGTTCCTACACCCTGAAATTCCAAGAACCTCTCCAGACCCCTCACGTATCTAGTCTCAACAGCTGCCATGTCTCCTTGAACTGCCTGAGTTGTACCCCGCCTGCTTTGTGGTTTTAAGCTTTATAAACCCCCGCTCCCCCCTTCGGGGCGCACTTAGGCACTTTGTGCCGGGTGTGCTGCTGGGTACCAGCTAAAATAAAGCGCTTTTTAAATTTTTGAGCCTGCCTCATTTTTGAGTTACAACATGAGCCACCCATCCGCGGGCATGTTAACTTGGCCTCACTTCTCGTGGAGGTGGCGCGAGAAGAGCCTGCTCCTGAAAATGACTTTTTCTAACTGGCAGGCAGTCCTCTTGAGGCCTGTAAGCTGGGCGTGGTGGGGTGGGGCCGACTGTCACACCGGCTTGGGGGCGACAGGCAGGGAGCTCGCAAGTTCAGGACCAGCCCGGACAACCAAATGAGACTTTGTCTCAAAATTTAGAAAGGGATGAAGGTATGCAGTGTTCCTTGGGTTCAATCCCCAGTACAGCTAAATAAACACAAAATGCAGTGAAGTGCTTCATACAGTACTGAAAGCCATAAAATACAATTGAGGATATTACAGATGCGAGGAAATTCAGGTCTTTAGTATGTTGGCCTTAAGGGTCGGTAGTTCTATACAGGTGTATTGTGTAAACTCAAGAGACCAGGTGTGGTGCATGCCTGTAATCCCAGCCCCAGGGAGGCTGAGAGGAGTTCGAGGCCAGCCTGGGCTACATAGCGAGATGCCTCTTAAGTAATTTCCCATCACCCTTCTTTTGAGACAAGGTCTCATGTCCAGGCTGGCCTCAAACTCGTGATCCTCCTGCCTCAGCCTCCTGAGTTCTGGGACTACAGGCATGCACATGCCCTGCAGAACCAAATTTTCTTTTAAAAGAATGCAGTTGTTGGCCATCACATAAGCCAAGATCAACGGTGATGTGAATGTAGTTAAGAGTTCATACTGTAATTGGGCTGGATACGTGTGACTCAGTTATGCAGCAATTCCTAGCATCAAAGTATTACTTTTTCAAAGATACACTTTGTTGTTGTGATGTATTTGGTACAGGGTCTCCCTATGCAGATGGGACTCCTGGTCATCTTCCTGTTTTCAGCCTCCCAGCACTAGGATTACATGCCTGTGCCACTTGGTGGCCATCTCAGCGCAGCATGTGGTGCCGGGTATCAAACCCTGGTCCTTGTGCTTGCCTAAGCAGGCACTTAGTCCACTGAGGTATCTCGCTGGCCCTTTGTTTGCAGTCTTTAATTACCAATATAACATAAAATCCATACGTTATATGTTCACACAGCAGTATTTATGGTACAACAGGCTAAGGAAGGTTTAAGAGACTGCAAGAGTAAAGGCACAGGGTGGGTTAACAGGCAGGAGGCGCTGCCAGAGGGTAGACAAGCTCACAGACAGGCGGCGGGGCTAGGGGCTGTCAGGAGAGCGGGCATGAGAGTCTGGGCCTGAGCGTGGCAACAGGCCTTGCGGGCAGGGCGACTTTCCGGGCTTCTCAGAAGGCAAACCACACAGAGGCTGTTGCCTGTCAGCCTTCCTGGGCAAGGCTGGGGCACTAGCTGACCAGAGGGTGGAACCAGTGCTGCCCCGTGTGTGGTGTGTGCTTCCTTCTGTAAAGCCCAGAGGAGGGGGTCGCGTTCAGTGTACCCCTCTGCACCTCCATCCCCTGGCACTGGGGACTGAACCCAGGACTTTCACGCAGAGCAGAGCTTCATCGCCAGCTGTTTTTGATTTGTGATACACCTGCCTCAGCCTCCCAGAGGCTGGCATTAGAGGTGTGTACCCCCGTGGCCCCGCATCTGGTGTGTCTGATAAATGCATGTGCTCTTTAGTTTTGTGTTCTGGTACTGGGCATTAGACCCAAGGTCCTTGGCACCCACCCCTTTTCAAAATTTCTTGAGACAGGGATTTGCTAAATTTCTAAACTGTGCAGGTTGAGCTCGGATTTTAATTGAGATTATAGGTGTGCAGCATTACACGCGGCACCTGTGCGTGGCTTTTCTGACATGCCCATGTCCATACACTCCTGACAATGTGATAAGTTAAATGTTTCACTGCCGTGAGTAGATTAGCTTGCACCTCATGCTGTTGCGGGGAAGACTGTTTTCTTGGACAAACAAGGTGTGCAGTCGCTCTCTTTGGCACTTGTGCTCGAGTGGACTGATTGAGATCAGACTTGCTTGATGAAACGGCAGCCTCACAGCTGCTGCTGCTGCTGCTGTGTGACAGGACAATTCCAGCAGCACGCAGGCTGGCCCTTTTCTTCTTAGGCACTATCTTGCTACATACTTCCGCCTGGCCTTGAACTCACAGTGATCCTCTTGCCTCAGCCTACTGAGGCAGGCTGGCCTGCTCTTCATACTACCCACATTTTAAAACATATTTCTCAAAGCTACTAATAGAAGGGTATGAGAAGATGGGTGGTTTATGTAGAGGCAGAGCAGCTGTGTCCTGCCACATTCTGGGTTCTGCCCTTGAGAGTGGATCCCTTTCAGCTCATGGCTGTCCCTGACACTCTGATGTCTTCATTTAAAGATTCCAGGTATTTCAGCCAGTGCCTCAGGGGCTGGGACAGGAAGGTCTTCAGTTCCAGGCCACACCCTGAAAAAAAAAAAAAAAAAGGAATAGAGAAAACAACAAAAAGACTGTGGCTCTTTATCATTTATCCTCATGGAAAGCAAGTTATTTCACATCAGTTTTCCTGCACAACTCCAGCTGTTTCACTTTTTTTGGGGACTGGCTCGCTATGCTGTTCTGGCTGGCCTTGAAATTGCAGAGATCCTCCTGCCTCAGCCTCCAAATGCTAGGGTTGCAGGCATAGCCACCATGCCCAGCTATTTCACAATTTTTGATTCACGTAACCAGAAAGCATTAGAGCTGGGTAAATCTTACTATGTCAAGTACTGTTTTTTTCATAAGACTTGTTTCTGATTTTAAGAATCGCACCATCATTTTGCTTGTGTAATTGCCCCCCCCCCCAGCAGTTGCAGACTTGGATGATTTCTTAGTTCGCCTTCCTCTTGGGGCCTCCTTTCCGTGACACCCTTACCTTACTTCGACGGGCTTTACCTTACTTTACTGTTTTATGGGCTTACGGCAGAGCTGCCATCCTGGAATTTATTTATTTTTCTTCAGTCAGATTTTTTTGCAGTACTGGGGACTGAACTCAGGACCTTGGGCTTGCCAGGCAACTGCTTATTCTACTGAGCTATCTCCCTGGCCCTTCAGTCAGATTTTATTGGTACGTTTTATTTATTTATATTCTTTTTATGTATTTGGTACATGGCCTCACTCTGCGGCTTGGATGTGTAGTGATCCTCCCGTTTCCAGCTTCCCCAGTGCTGGGATTACAGGTGTGTGCCACCACGTCCAGACTTGGGTCAGAGCACTCCAGGGGCAGGGCAAACACAGAACACGGGACCAGGGATTGAACCTGGATCCCTGTTTGCCAAAGCAGGGTGTAGACATACATAATGATCACATTCTTCAGAGTACATGATACAACTTGATTCTTTGTCCCCCATTTCCCTACTCTCCACATTCCCCTACTCTCCCTTCTATCCCTTTCTTCTTTTTCCCTTCTTCAATCCCTCCAGTTTTTCCTTCTTTTCTCACTTTTCCCTTCACATTTATCTTTATTTCCTTACTTTTCCTATTTACTTGAGAGAAGGTCTCCATGTAGTTCAGGCTGATCTTGAACTCAGGACCCTCCTGCCTCAGCCTCCCAAGTGGTGAGATTACAAGGCTGTGCCACTGTAGCTGGCCCTGGAAGGTCTTTTATATTTCTCTTAATGATTTCTTCCTCTTCTCTTCTGTTAATTCCCATGTCTGCTTTTCCTGTTACCTTCTTTCTTTGACTTGGTGAATATGTTCTTGCTTGGCTTCCTGAGACAGTGCATGAGAGATTTTCTAGGCCTTGTACCTGTGGGAGATAGATGGCCCTGCAGCTACCCTCGCACTCTGTAGGCCGGGTGAGACAGCTGATTGCCTGCCAGCTTCTGGGTGGGTCCGTGACTCCTTCGTGTGTAGCTGCCTCTTCTCTGTGATGTTTCTTCTTTTTCTGGGTGTTTTGACAGCACGAACCTTTCTGTAACACTGGGATTTAACCCAGGGCCTGCCCCCTGAGCTACATCCCAGTCTTTATTTTTTTCATTTTCATTTTAAGATAAGGTCTCAGTAAGTTGCTCGGGTGGGGCTTGTATTTGCAGTCCTGCTTCAGCCTTCAGAGCACTGAGATTACAAGCCTGGCACCACACTCAGTGTCTTATCTTCTTCTTCATGTTTAACTTTCAGATGTTCCTCCTAATTGCTTTCATTGTTTAATGACACCCTGACCTTCATTTCCTCAAATATCAATTACACTTGTAATGTATCCTTTGTATTTTCTTTTTAATGTATTTGGTACAGGGTCTCTATGCAGCTCGGACTCATACTGATCCTCCTGTTTTCAGCCTCCCAGCACTGGGATTACAGGCCTGCATCACCACGCCTGGACTTGGTCACCGGCTCAGTGTGCCCGGAGAAGGGGCTGGCATGATATGTGGTGCTGGGGATTGGACGCTGGCCCCTGTGCTTGCCTAAGCAGGCGCTTAGTCACTGAGCTATCTCTCCGGCCCTCCTCTGTACTTTCAAACAATGTCTGACTCATATGCATGAGTTAAGTCTATTAGTCAGCAGATGGTTATTAACAGGGCTAAAAAATGAGATAGGGAATAGGATAAAGAGATACAGAACTTGAAGATAAAGCATGAGAGGGTGGAAAGTAGATCTTGCTCTTCCAGAGAATGAAATCTTTTTTTTTGTTGTTGTTTTTTTTGTTCCTCGAATGCCTTCAGGGCACTTTTGGCCAGCGGGAGAGGTGTGAGGTTCGAACTCCAGCAACCTGAGGCTGACAGCTTTGTGGAAGCAGCCACTTAAAGGCCTGAGCTAGGGCCAGGCCCCCTGAAATCTGTTTTGAAAAACAAGATATATTCACATCAAATAGTCACTGAAAATGTCATTTAATATTAAATGCACAGTTAATGTTATAA